CTTAACATATCTTGCATTATTTGTCTCAGAGGTACAGATCTGAGATTCAACAGTCCTGCACAATTCTGAGGTGGGTAACCTTAACAAGCCACATTCCCCACTCTGAGCCTAGATTTTCTCATGTCTGAAGCAAACAGACGGGCTTAATGGTTTTCTTCTACTCTGATGATCTATGGTGATTGGATTTCAGTTGCTGTTTGGTTGTGGATAGGTTAAAGCAGGGAGGGCATAGAGGTGCAGGACCCCACCAGATGGCAGCAAGGTGGGGGGATACCCAGCAGTTCTGTGGCCCTGGGAGATTCCAGCTCATCAGCATCTTCCTGTCGCTCAGACTAAGAGCGATCAAGTGATACTGTGGTGGGATGGTACTTGCCATCTGGAGTGCCAGGGAAAATGTCATTACCCATTTGTTTCTAAATGCACAGGAAATGTTTAAAGGCAAAACACCCCAGTGCTTCTAAGCACTTCACTTCTAAGCACTTGGCTGGGAATGCAGGCCTACTCTTTGTGTGGCCCTGAGTGAGACTGGGGAGCGGTACTTCACAAGGGCTTCCCCTGAAAGTGGGACAGTGGAATCCAAGGGAGGAAAGGGTTCTAACCAAGCTGCTTGCTTCTCTACAATAGCTAAGCGGACTGCTCCAAGTGTGCATGCGCACAGGGACAGAGACCCAGGCCAAATTCACCTCCGTGGAGTTGCTCAGAGAGTATATTTTGGTAAGAAATTTGTGCATGCCAGAGGAGGGGCTAGTTAACTCTGGCAAAACTTATGTAGGCATTTGATTTTTTAGACATGTGAAACGCATCTTTTTAAAAACTGAAATGGGACCACAACCCTCTTCTTAAAACCCATATTTACTCTAAAGTTCTTGAGGTTGAAGAAGATATACCTTTTAAAACATTTTTCTTCGAGGGCAGTTTCTGCACACAAAAAGAGAAATCAGTGGCTAACTTTAGTTCCTAAAAATTAATATTTGATTGGCTGAAATTGTAAATTGCAAAAAAACAATGGTTGAACTCTTCTCTGAAAGGTTTTTGGTTTTTTTTTTTTAAAGATTTTATTTATTTATTTATTTGGCAGAGAGAGACACAGCGAGAGAGGGAACACAAGCAGGGGGAG